AGGCAACGTGGCCACCTGCCGCAAACAAAGAGTGCTTGTATTAATGCAAAAAGGACCCGAGGAGCTGACACAGACGTTTTGTCCACTTTCACGTGGAACACAGGCCCAAGACGCAAGCCTAACCTCAGGAAGACAACAAATACTCCGGTAGTGGCGGCCCGATGGTCGATTGGTTAGCACGTCGGCAGAGGTCGTGGATTTAATTGCGGGCCCCGACCTTCCTGTGTGGGGTTTGCATGTTCTCCCAGTGCCTACATGGGTTTTGTCCGGGTACTTCGATTTCCTCCCACATTCCAAAAACATGCACAGTAGGTTGATTGAACCCCCCAAATCATCCCAACGTTTGATTGTGAGCGCAAATGGCCGTTTGTTAATGTGTGCACCGCAATTCAGGGTGTTCAGGGTGTCCCCGGCCTACTGCCCGAAGACAGCTGGGATAGGCTCCAAGAACGTCCGCGGCCCTCGTGAGGAGAAGCGGATCAGATAATGGATGGATGGATGTAGGGATGATAAGGGGGCGTTACCCGGGGGTGGTAGAAGGCGGCGATGACCCTCCGCAGGCGGTTAGCGTAAACCTGAAGGCAGCTGAAGAGCGCTGCCAGCAGGAGGCAGCAGGCAACGCTGATGTACGCAGAGGCGGCCAGGGAGGAGGGCGTAGTCACGCAGCCTGTGGAGGAGAGAGAATGAGAGGGGGCGGTGCAAGTTCATTTAGGCGCCGATCATCACTCTGTGTGACCCTTGACCCCCAACTGACTCACGCTGGTTGTCGGATACGATGCGAACCCTCGACGATGTGTTGAAGGCGGAAAACGTCCTCCGCAAGAGGCGCGCCATCATTGAGGTTCCGCCGACTTTTATGTCCACCTGCTGGCTGCCTGAAAAAAGGCCACGCCCACCATGTGCACCATTTACGCAACATGCCCGGGAGTTTGTGTTTACGGGTCAAGTTGAAGGAGCCGTGCGCGCGCGCGGATGTCTTACTCGTGACGTTGAAGGTGGTATGCGTGTGCTTGCTCACCACGTCCAGTACACGAAAGACTGACACGTCCACCGTCAGCAGGACCAATGCCAGAAGGAGCACCGACAAAACCTGAATGACACTTGACAGCTGCACACGCACACAATGAATGATACATGCAGGCATGTGTGCGTGTGTGTGAGCGTGCGAGGTGAGCCCACCACTTCTTTGATTTCTTCAGGGTGAATTTTGGGGCTCCAGGGGTCCACAAACTTTCGTCTCTCAGATGGCGTGAGAGGTAATAAATGCCGTTTCCCCTGAATGGACGCACACACACACACACACACACACACACACACACACACACACACACACACACACACACACACACACACACACACACGTGATAATGAGGCGGCTGATGATGATGATGATGACGTCAATGATGAAGGCATTACCAGCGACTTCCTGCGTTGGTCGATGATGCCGAAGTATTTAGTGATGTACATGTTATCGAAGTAAACGTCTCCTCGGAATTGTCGCACGTAACCGAGAGACCTTGAACACACAAACACACTGACGACGCCGGCGCACATGCAACGGCGGTGGGGGAAGGCCAGCGGCTTACTGCGTGAACACGGACAAGAAAGCGAAGGACATGACGAGGCGGAAGATGTCCAGCAGTTTGCGTATGCGAGCGGCCACCTGTCGGAAAGAAGTCTGGATGCCGCGCGTGAAGTCCCCGTCCAGCAGCTGTCCATCCAGAGCCGCCTGTTGCTGATACTCCTGTCACGCACCAACACGGGAATGGGAATATGTCAACAGGCGACACAAGAGCATGTGGAACGTGCGTCAGGTGAAGACGTGACGTGGTCGCGACCTTGACGACAAGCTTGCTGGTGAACTCCTGATTGAGAAGATCAATGGAAGTGTTGAGATGATCGAACAGCTGACCAAAGTTTTTCTCCACGGGGATGTGCTCCTTGCACCAGCCCATCATCACTGAGGAAAAAAAACACACAGGCGCCGTCATCATCATCATCATCATCATCATCATCATCGTCATCATCATCATCAGCATCATCATCATCATCGTCATCATCATCATCAGCATCATCATCATCATCGTCATCATCATCATCAGCATCATCATCATCATCGTCATCATCATCATCAGCATCATCATCATCATCGTCATCATCATCATCAGCATCATCATCATCATCGTCATCATCATCATCAGCATCATCATCATCATCGTCATCATCATCATCAGCATCATCATCATCATCGTCATCATCATCATCAGCATCATCATCATCATCGTCATCATCATCATCAGCATCATCATCATCATCGTCATCATCATCATCAGCATCATCATCATCATCGTCATCATCATCATCAGCATCATCATCATCATCGTCATCATCATCATCAGCATCATCATCATCATCGTCATCATCATCATCAGCATCATCATCATCATCGTCATCATCATCATCAGCATCATCATCATCATCGTCATCATCATCATCAGCATCATCATCATCATCGTCATCATCATCATCAGCATCATCATCATCATCGTCATCATCATCATCAGCATCATCATCATCATCGTCATCATCATCATCAGCATCATCATCATCATCGTCATCATCATCATCAGCATCATCATCATCATCGTCATCATCATCATCAGCATCATCATCATCATCGTCATCATCATCATCAGCATCATCATCATCATCGTCATCATCATCATCAGCATCATCATCATCATCGTCATCATCATCATCAGCATCATCATCATCATCGTCATCATCATCATCAGCATCATCATCATCATCGTCATCATCATCATCAGCATCATCATCATCATCGTCATCATCATCATCAGCATCATCATCATCATCGTCATCATCATCATCAGCATCATCATCATCATCGTCATCATCATCATCAGCATCATCATCATCATCGTCATCATCATCATCAGCATCATCATCATCATCGTCATCATCATCATCAGCATCATCATCATCATCGTCATCATCATCATCAGCATCATCATCATCATCGTCATCATCATCATCAGCATCATCATCATCATCGTCATCATCATCATCAGCATCATCATCATCATCGTCATCATCATCATCAGCATCATCATCATCATCGTCATCATCATCATCAGCATCATCATCATCATCATCATCATCATCATCGCGCATGTGTCGATGATGTGGTACGAGTGATCTGGTGTCCGCTGACCTCTCATGATGTTACACAGGAAGTGGAACTTCATGGGCACGCACAGGATGTGCTTGATGACGGGCACCTGGATGGCCTTGGCACACTCCGCCCACTTGTCGGAGAACCATTTGGTGCACGCCGCGATGCCCCCCTTGACCATACCTACGTGCGACAGGAGACGAACGTGACGATGACAGAGATGAAGGTGGAGGAGGAAGGCTCACCGTCGCACTGCATTAAGGTGCTGAGGGCGAAACGTTCCTGCGTGCTGTTCCGGTCGGCGTTTTGGGAACGCTCATTCAGCAGCCGGCCGTTCGCGTCCCGACCGAGAACTTCCTGCCGGACGTCGGCGAAGGCGCCATGGGCGCCGCGAGCTTCTGACTCGAATTCCGCTTCTCCCTGCTGGATACACGAAAGAGGCAGCAAGTCACACGTCACCTTCAGGCCGTTTGCTAAGAAGCAATCCTTTTTGCTCAGCAGCAGGGTGGTCACATGACTTGTGGGGGGGCGGGTCTTACCACGACTTCTTTCGCCACCTTGAGGAAGGGCTTGACAGCGTCTCTCCACAACAACTTGGCGTTGCGCACTTGAAGGTCCAGATTGCAACTCAGAGACTCCGCGGCCGTCTCGACGTTGTGCTGGATGTTGGACACCGGACCTGTCAATCAAGCGCCACGCACTTGTCAGTTATCCAGCAACAACCTGTTCGTCAGCATTTATTGAGCTGTGCTGCATTCGCTGTCCAACTGTCAATCATTTCGGCAACTATCCAATTGTACACCTGTCCATTCTTCATTGGCTTCTTGTCAATCATCAACTCTCTGCCTGTCAATTATTATTGTCCATCTCTTGCCAATCACTTGTTGTTCAACTGTCAACCATCAGTCGTCCACTTGTCAATCACGTTACCCTGCTGTCATGCACCAACCTGAATAGAGCGCAGAGACAACGAGCAGCAAGAGGAAGGTGCGTCCACGGGAGCCGAGCATGCTGGGAAACATCAGCAGGACGGCGCATCTGAAGGCCGATGATGTGGCCCCGCCCACCACACACGCCCCTGGACACGGCCACAAGCACAGTCACACAGGCGTCCTGTAGGTGGCGCTACATCATCATCTTCCTCACCAGTAAAGAGGCATCCTGTGGCCAGCTTGAGGTCAAAGGTCAGGGGCAGGCCCAGTGCAATGGCGGCAAACATGGCTGGTCTCATGACAAACACATCACTTGACATCATCTGCTGTTGATTGGACGGCGCTAGCTTGACTTAGCAGTTGAGATTGTTCTGCGGCGCAGCTCGTAACTCGCTCAAATGATTTTGAATGGAGACAGTCTGTGTGAGCCCCCCCCCCCACCCACAAAACCATATTTTCCCTCAAAAAAACAGGGGTCACCAACTCCAATACTTGAGAGCCAGAGATGTTTCCCTCCTCCAACACACCCGATCAGCAAGCTCTGCAGGAGCCTGATCACGATCCTGATCGGTGCAGGCTAGGGGGTCTCGAGGACCGGAGTTGGTAGCCCTTTGTCTAGAGCGTCTCGAGAATATCCACGGAAGTGCCAAACATTTTGATCCAGATGCCGCCAATATGGTTTTCAAATGATTCATAACAATTGCGATTGCTCCAAAAGCCACTGCTGTTATTGCACATTATGGACACTTCCCTTTTGGGAAACCAAAAAAAAAAAAAAGACACCAAGACAACTCGTTCGTGAAACTTCAATCGTTCCACTTCACTCCGAGCTTCCATTTGGACTGGCCACCCAGCAACAGCAAAAAACAACACCTGCTGAGTCAAAGTCCATCCACCTTGGTGTTTTTTACTTTTCTTTTTCGTTTTTTTTTTTTCTTACCTGCACCACTCAGCGCGCCGAACAGGGCGCGTAGGATGACGTCAGCAAGCCGCAGCTCTTCCGATTGGTTGAGAAGGAAGCGATGGCAGACACGTGGGAGGAAGTGCTTGATCAGATGCTCTACAGCTGCGAGACACGTCACCGCCACCAGAGGGCGTCACATACCAGAAATACCACAAGGACGGTGACAACAAAGAAGAAAAGAAACCACTCACTACTGCGAGGTTGCTCGTCACGAGTCATGATAACGTCACGATCAGCTTGTGCCGTTGGTGCTTGTTGTTCACAATGACCGTAAAGATCATCATCATAATCATATCCTGATAATCCCAAATCCTAATCCATGCCTTTTCCCCACCGCAAACCAGTGTGACGTCACAGTCAGACGACGCGTTATGTCACGTGACGCCATCAAAGTGAATTCCCTTACACGTTCCTGACGCGCACGTTGAACTTTGAGTTACAAACTTTTGGGGAAAAAAGAACTGAGACGATGTGAACCATGTAATGAAAAACTTGTTTGACACTCTCCCGTCGCGTAATGGACGGAAGTGCAGTCAACTGGTTACCATGGCGACGCCCAAGCAGGTAAAATGTCTCTAATGAACTGCACGGCTAATTTGTTGCATTCTATTGTCAAAGATGGGGGAGCGGACAAGATGGTTGACGTTTTTTGTGATTTTGAAAATGCAAAGAAATGTGATCCAAACAAAAGAAAGACAAGGAAGTTGCTACGACTGAGCGCATTGCAGTGCCCTGAGATACGACTGATCCAACCTGACTAGATTTGTTTTGTTTTTTTTTTGGTCAACCCTTACAAAATTATTTTTAAAATAGGATAAATACCGGTTTATCACATTAGTGGGGGAAGACTGGCGTTACTATGAATGACTTAATTGGCTCAGTATTATGACAGAAGAGATTTGGGTTACCGTGTAAGCTTTTCATGTGGTTTGGGGCATATTTTGACAGGGCAAAAATAATTACAGTACTACTTGAGAGCCAGTCAAAGTATCATTTCAACGAAAGGGTTCAATGAAGAACAGCAGATGGCAAAGCACGTTGCTTTTCTTCATTGTCACTGTTTGCATGCTGTGCTTTGAAAAATGCAAAAATGAGGCCTTCCCCACACCGCAAACAAAGAGCATTCATTAAATTGGCATCATAATCCATGTCTGACCATAACACCATCCACTTTGACACCACCCGGAGGTCGCTGGCGGGACAGCATATGGCCGATTTAAGGACTGTGACATACAATAATAATACTAAGAATAAATAATTATTTTTTTTTGGTCAAATACACGCAGGACTCTTTTAAAATCAGTCTATTGTACTTAGAAAAGCATATTTGATTTCTTTATCATCATTCTAAGAATTGTTTTTAGTTTATGTGTGTCATGTCAGATCTTGATGAGGCGCAGAACTTTGTCACAGCCGCAGTTGTTGTTTTGAAATAAAGATTAGATGAGAGAAATCACTCCAAATCCAAATAAAGCTAAGTTGAGATGAATGACGTCACATGTTGAGTTTGGTTGGAAACGCTCTCTCCTCAATCACGGGGAAGTGCACTTCATTGGCCTGATCGGCTTAGCTGGACCGCGTGTGTACGTGTTGAAGTCTTACACTTTGCTAGCTCATCACTATGTAAGAGGAAGTGACATCGGCAGCTGCCGCAAACAAAGAGTGCTTGTATTAATGCAAAAAGGACCCGAGGAGCTGACACAGACGTTTTGTCCACTTTCACGTGGAACACAGGCCCAAGACGCAAGCCTAACCTCAGGAAGACAACAAATACTCCGGTAGTGGCGGCACGATGGTCGATTGGTTAGCACGTCGGCAGAGGTCGTGGATTTAATTGCGGGCCCCGACCTTCCTGTGTGGGGTTTGCATGTTCTCCCAGTGCCTACATGGGTTTTGTCCGGGTACTTCGATTTCCTCCCACATTCCAAAAACATGCACAGTAGGTTGATTGAACCCCCCAAATCATCCCAACGTTTGATTGTGAGCGCAAATGGCCGTTTGTTAATGTGTGCGCCGCAATTCAGGGTGTTCAGGGTGTCCCCGGCCTACTGCCCGAAGACAGCTGGGATAGGCTCCAAGAACGTCCGCGGCCCTCGTGAGGAGAAGCGGATCAGATAATGGATGGATGGATGTAGGGATGATAAGGGGGCGTTACCCGGGGGTGGTAGAAGGCGGCGATGACCCTCCGCAGGCGGTTAGCGTAAACCTGAAGGCAGCTGAAGAGCGCTGCCAGCAGGAGGCAGCAGGCAACGCTGATGTACGCAGAGGCGGCCAGGGAGGAGGGCGTAGTCACGCAGCCTGTGGAGGAGAGAGAATGAGAGGGGGCGGTGCAAGTTCATTTAGGCGCCGATCATCACTCTGTGTGACCCTTGACCCCCAACTGACTCACGCTGGTTGTCGGATACGATGCGAACCCTCGACGATGTGTTGAAGGCGGAAAACGTCCTCCGCAAGAGGCGCGCCATCATTGAGGTTCCGCCGACTTTTATGTCCACCTGCTGGCTGCCTGAAAAAAGGCCACGCCCACCATGTGCACCATTTACGCAACATGCCCGGGAGTTTGTGTTTACGGGTCAAGTTGAAGGAGCCGTGCGCGCGCGCGGATGTCTTACTCGTGACGTTGAAGGTGGTATGCGTGTGCTTGCTCACCACGTCCAGTACACGAAAGACTGACACGTCCACCGTCAGCAGGACCAATGCCAGAAGGAGCACCGACAAAACCTGAATGACACTTGACAGCTGCACACGCACACAATGAATGATACATGCAGGCATGTGTGCGTGTGTGTGAGCGTGCGAGGTGAGCCCACCACTTCTTTGATTTCTTCAGGGTGAATTTTGGGGCTCCAGGGGTCCACAAACTTTCGTCTCTCAGATGGCGTGAGAGGTAATAAATGCCGTTTCCCCTGAATGGACGCACACACACACACACACACACACACACACACACACACACACACACACACACACACACACACCCACACACAC